TTACCCATGGATGCACAATAAGAGCGGACCCATATCGCCTTACTGCCAGCCCACGGAGCTGTAATAATGGATATATTGCACATGTTTGCTGTAATTCATCATTTGTAAAATATTATACTACATGGGCTGTATGATTAAATCTTGTACCGTAAATGTTGTATTAAATAAAGTTAATATTACCGACGTAGATTAACGTCCCTGTAGCTTCTTATTGCACTAAGAAGCTTATTGCACTGTATATATATATACATATACATATGTATATATATATACATATATACATATATATACATATACATATATACATATATATATATACATATATATACATATATATGTATATGTATATATATGTATATGTATATATATGTATATGTATATATATGTATATGTATGTATATGTATGTATATGTATATATAAGTACAGATGGAGCATCTTATTTCAGACTCCAGCTTACTGCTTCCTGCCTACTACCTGCCAGTTACCTGCCTAATACCTGCCAAAGACCAGTATCTGGGAATGTTAAGCCCTCCCACTATTTTCCAAGAGGGCGTTGCCAGATTTTCAATTAAAGGATTTAACCAGGAGATGGCACTTCCTTCACAAAAACAGGAAGACAACTTTTCATGGACTTTCAGTTTTGTTTAGAAGAGCATTTGAACACATCAATATTTTAGATCAAATTAAGTATATCTAATCTTGTAATTCAATAATATATAGTCTTTATATATTAAATAACTATGGCCAAACTAAGACTTAGTTTTTCACAAGAGAAAATGCAGATATTATATATCGGTGGTGGTGTTGTCGGCCGTAAGCGAACCGGGCCGTTCTGTGATTCTCCAGAACTCACAGCTGGCCTATGAATAAGTCCCGACTCTGCCGACGGCCAATCCGTGCCTCCCCTGACAGGTACAACAGGTATTCACTCAGAGGGGGGTAGGTACTAAATGCCACCCATTTACATGTAGGCAAACAAAGTCAAAAATCAACATACAGTAGGGGGGTGGGGGATGGTGAACGGTATGTGGGTATGTGGGACACTGAAAAGTCTATGTTAAAAAGCCTCAGTCACCTTAATTCATGTAATAAAAACATCTCAGGTCAGTAACACTGAAATACCATGTTCAGCTATGTTACTATTTATAATGTTATTGTTGTTACAACAGAAGATGTTTTTCTTTATATTGAATCTGGTGCACTTTGAGGTCAAAATTAAGAGATTTATGGATACCACTGGAAAAAGCTGCAGTACATATGCCGAGCCTGTACATAGCGCTGTAACTTCCTCCACAAAAGCAGCCTTCTGTTTATTCAACGTGGTGGGGGCCGAGGGAACCGGGCAGAGTTTTTCGCCGGTTAACGTGTGTGAAAGTTGAAATCTTCCTTATTGAGCTTTAAAACAAATGAATAACAACTATATATAATAATAAAATAAACACCGACTGTTGTTATGCCTGCTGTAACATTAAATTACTCCGTTCTCCGCTTTAGTAATTATGCCGTTACAAGCTTCATAGTTGTATTTATCATCTAAATTTGCCGAAACAAGTTTAATATTCTGAAAGCCAAGACTTTGTTTATTTGAAATCAGATGAAAACAAACTGTAACGGACCCTGCCGTGTTATCTATGATTACTATGCCTTACTGTACATTCATAATTTCAGCCGGAGGGAGGTGGGCGGCGCTGCGGAGGAGCAGATTGCGAGTGAGAGGTGCCTGTCATCTTCCCTTTACAAGCTTCACAAATGTATTTATCGTGTGATTTTGGAAATAAAAGTTTCATATTCTGAAAGCCAAGACTTTGTTTATATATTATACGTGGGTAGCTATGATGTCAGAAGGAGTTACCCTAAATGAGAGCTGCCGTAAAAGTGTTTCTAGGATTTCTAAACAAACTATTACAGCTGTTATAAAGCATTAAATAAAAAGTCATGAAAGAGATCATTTTTCAGTGATTTCATGTAAATTCGGCGAACATAAACATAAATGATCGTGGTGAAGATGATGATTAAATTAGGATTAAAAATCGGGAGAGCCGGCTGCATTTCCTCTCGTTCGTTTTTTTCGACTAAACAACATTATTTTGTTAAATAACAACATGGTGATGTTTTGTAAATGATTACATGTCTTATTTAGCACAGACTATGATCCTATCCGTGACATATGGATCTTAACAAAGATCCGCTATACATTAGTACCAGACATACTGTACATCCAGCTTACTGTATCGAAGTTGATTTCACATGAGCTCCAGTGTGGAACCCCACTGCACCCCCTGGTGGATCAACGATCCATTGCAGCTGGCTTCACAATAATTACATTTATTTATCACGGGGGCGGTATCAAGTCAGACTGGGGGCCGGCTCTTCATCACGAACCGATCACGGGCCGATCACGGACCAATCACGACCCAATCACGACCCTCGCGTTTCAAACTGTCTGAAATAAGATGCTCCATCTGTATATATGTATGTATATATATATATACATATGTATATATATATATACATACATACATATACATATACATATATATACGGTGCAATAATTCTTTCATGCTAAATGAAGCTCTGTTGCTTGGATATCACTAGATCCTGTTACAGTGTAATATAAAAGTACATAACGATTGATGTGTAAATTAGCATAATTACTAGCTAACCGCTAGCTGCTAACTGCCGCCTCGTTAATATCAAATCTATCATAATAACAATCCATTACCATGCTGTCATGAACGTGCGGTGCTGTTACGTGTACGCAAATTGACGTGCTTGATGTGAACGAGCATTTTGGGGGGAATTGTCACTACCTGATCGGTCCACCTGCCCGATCTGTACTGCGCATGTGCGAGAAGGTCCGCCATATTTGACAACTACATACGGCAACTCTAATAGGACACTTGACACAGTGGCTTTTGGCAAAGCAGAAAAAGAACCGAGAGAGATGAGTTATTGTTATTACAACGTGACTTCACTATTATTTAACAACTGTTTTTATTGAGTTGTTTTATTTGGGGTTAAATCGGTTAAATACATTGTCAGAATAAGTGAGACATGGATTTAACTTCTGTTAGACAGCTATATGCCATACATTTTTGCATACATTCACAGTAAATATTTATTCAGTATGATAGCTGTATTTAACCCCAAATAAAACAACTCAATAAAAAGAGTTGTTAAATAATAGTGAAGTCACGTTGTAATAACAATAATCTCTCTCGGTTCTTTTTCTGCTTTGCCAAAAGCCACTGTGTCAAGTGTCCTAGTAGAGTTGCCGTATGTAGTTGTCCAATATGGCGGACCATCTCGCACATGCGCAGTACAGATCGGGCAGGTGGACCGATCGGGTAGTGACAGGGTGTTTCTCAATCGCGAGTACGCTTGCTTGGTAGCACATCTCTGCCGAGCATCTTGCTTCAGAAGCGAGTCAAGAATACTTCCTGACATTCGGAAAACAAAGAGAGGAACACGCTAGCAAGTGTGCAGGTGTGCGTCATATGAGAGGCCCTGCCTTACATCTTCCGCCACAGATTTGGGGAAATTGGTCCGTGCGCAAAGCATTGTGGGGATTTTAAGGCCGCGAAGTCTACTCATGTGCACACTCGATATTTGTCCAAACGGAGTACGCCGGGCTCGCTAGATTTCCAAGTATACTGGAGATTGTAACAGTACTTCGGCGGCACTCGATGACGTCATATGCTTGAAATAGTGGCTCGGAAGCAGCTTTACTCGCGATTGAGAAACACCCACAGGCATGGTTAAAGTTGCGCATGCGCTATGAGCGCACATACGGGTACTTCTCAGGCATGCCGGGTAATCTGTGACGTTTCGCTCTCTCAAAAGTTGGGCCATTTTATCATCATGCGCGAATGAGCAACTCTCATAGGAATGAATGAGGCCCCGCCTCCCACGCTGTATCCAGTTCTTATTATACATCCATGCTCCTCTCACGTGGAACATTTACAACAAGGGAAGAGGAAACGTGAGGGACACAATATGAAGGGGGAAGTCCCCACAAAAATAATCTTCTGAGTACAGGGACTACATTTCAGAGATTCCGCCCACTGATCTCCGACCTTGTCAGGTATTGAACATTCAATAAATGAAAAATACAGAATTATTAAATATAAAACACAGAATGTGTGTGATTATACTAAATGATTTACACATAAACACCACTGCATATTCACAACTGTTACACTTGTACTTGAGTACTCAGATCTTGTACTTGAGTAAAAGTAGAAGTACTCAGATCTTGTACTGTACTTGAGTAAAAGTAGAAGTACTCAATTATTGTACTTGAGTAAAAGTAGAAGTACTCAGATCGGATACTTCAGTAAAAGTAGAAGTACTCAGATCTTGTACTTTAGTGAAAGTAGAAGTACTCAGATCTGGCACTTGAGTGAAAGTAGAAGTACTCAGATCTTGTACTTGTTAGCTAAAACTAATGATGAAAGAACTGAAAACACAGACTAAAGGTAATGTGTGTATATGTAGTGACGGTGGAGGAAGAGACTGCAAAGGACAAACTCAATTCACAGTGAAATGAAAACATATAGAGTTTGAGTTTATCATGTGCAGGAAGATAAACAAAATGGTGAGGATAACATCGGTCCAGCTCAGGCATCAATGGTTCACTTTTTATTTGATGTTTCATTTGTTCAATGGTGGGCTAGAACTTTGAAATCATAAATCAATGAAAGAAATGTGTTTTGGTGCCAATAACAAAAAAGTCCATTCATATTCTGGGAGAATACAGTAATAGATGCAATAAATGCAGCAGGGTTAATAATCCAGAAACAAATGTATATATATATATAATAGGGAACAATTGAATGCACAGTTAACACTAGAGTACTTAAATACCTCAACACTTTAACTTCAGTGAGGTTTTGAATGCAGGATGTTTACTGGGTTATTTCCACACTGTGGTATTCATGTTTTCAATAACTTTGTTGAGCTTGTTGTTATCTCTATTTCTATCTCACTGAACAGAGTCCCTGGATGTGAACTGGTTCAGCTGATAAGGCTGGTTATAAAACAGAGGGAGGAGCTGCAGACAGGGAGGGAAGTTGAAAGTGAAAGTAAGAAGTCAGACTGCTAGACGCCATTTTACAGCTCGCCGGAGCAGAAGGAGAACAACGGGGTGAGTGTAAACACCAATATCTGCTTTCTAACAGATTCATTATTTACTCTAACATAACCTGTATGTTAAAAATCAGCGAGTCCAATGAGACGTCTGCAAACTCTTTTAAAGTCCTGTTTGCTGATCCATCAGAGTTACATAACATGTGACAGCGCAGTCAAAATGGAGAGCGGCCTGTCTGAAGTCTGACCAACCAAGTTTATTACTATGATGGTTTGGATTGAAAAAAGCGTGTTATTATTGTGTGTGTGTGTGTGTGTGTGTGTGTGTGTGTGTGTGTGTGTGTGTGTGTGTGTGTGTGTGTGTGTGTGTGTGTGTGTGTGTGTGTGTGTGTGTGTGTGTGTGTGTGTGTGTGTGTGTGTGTGTGTGTGTGTGTGTGTGTGTGTGTGTGTGTGTGTGTGTGTGTGTGTGTGTGTGCACTTGTTTTCATGACAAATAAGGACAATTTTATGATAACACACCTTCACTATCAGGACACTTGGAAAAATGAGGACATTTTTGGCGTCCTCATTTTTCTGAACTCACTACAGTGTTTTAAACTCCCCCAAATGCCCCTACACCAAATATCTTCAACGTCCTAAAATATCACAATTTCATGACATGAAGTGTGTGAGTGTGTTTATGGATTTTGCTCATCGATGAATACGCCAACTAGTGGTCACTTCTGGAACTTAACACACTTTTCACACACTTTAGTCACGTGACTCAAAAGGTCCTCATAAATCTCATATTTTTCAGGTTCAAACACACTCCAATGTTTTAAGCTGGTTTTAGTATTACTGCAATATATATGTATTTCCATGGACTCAGAGACAACTAAAATAATCAACAATTAATTACTGCTGATTTTAGTCACCTGCCTTATAATCTAGAGAACTAGTTATTCCATCATTACTTTTATTTACATCGAATAGCCAGATAAGCTAATGTTAGCTTATTAGCTTAACGTAGCTAACCGCATGCAAAGGACCCCTGCCACATGGAGGATTCTCTCGACAGAACTGGAAGGATTGCACACTAAATTGAGGTAATTCATTACTTTTTCTAAGATGTTGTTACTGAAGCACAAGATATTATTTTAAAATGTGAATTGTAACAGTGGTTTCCAATTTAACACCAAATTGATAGATATTCAGTAGACCTAGTAAGTAATGTTATTTGTGGAGCTTACCGTGTTTTAGTAATTTTATAACAGTATTTACCTTTGAAGACGCTTTGTCTGTGCTCTTGTAACATTATTTGTTGAGGTGTTAAAGTAACTTGAAGTTACACAATTCTAATTGCAGTTGCCCAGGGTTTGCACTGAACAGTTAGCTTATCAAGCTAATGGGATCCTGCATTAGTGAGAACATGAGTTAGTAAGTTATGATTAAAGAATAAATAATACCATTTTATAAAACATAATTGATACAAATAAATTAGAAATGTAATTTCTATTTGTTCTTGTTGACTTTTTGTCATTCTTCCACGTAGATGTTTGCTAATTGAGGAACAAATGGCGAGTGTAGAGTGTGTGTGTTACATCGTCCTCATATTGTTGGGTAGCAGATATTGTACAGTTCAAACTATTTCTATAGAGTCTTGAGTTACAAGCCCAGATCCTCATGTGAATTGTTTTTACTAAAATCTGTGTCCCCTACATGAAAAGTCAATGGATTTCTGACACGTTATTGTTGTATTTTAAATTGCAGAAACTGAGTGACATGATCCCGGCTCAGCCTTTAGCTGACTCTGAAGCGAGCCAGAGATCCACCTCATCCTTCCAACAGGTAATTAAACATTTACTCTAGACTATTTCTATACAAGGTAAATTCATGTCTCAATCAAGTCCAATGCACACATATAATGCCTTTTAACTGCATTAACACAAAGGTGTTGTGAAAAAACTTTCACAATGTCAAGACTGACTGTTGTTTCTAAATACCATAGTAGAAAGATATAACCCTACCATTTGATAGCAGTATCTACCTCTTAAAACATGAACATTATCTTTATTGCCCCTAAATTCTGTGTTTTGTCTCCTTTTGCCAATGTATTTGCCAATTTAACCTAATGTGTATCAGTTTACATGATTTAATTAATAGGGAAGTAGATCCATACTTATTACTATGGGGGTTTCAGGTTTTTTTAACAACATCAACACACCTCAGAAGTCAGGAACACTGACTTTATGTAACTTCAGTCGTCATGTCCTCATTTTGTTTTAGGTTGTGTAATCATGATGTGTTTCAGAGAACGTCCCCATATGGTACAACCCAACGAGTTTAGAGTGTGTGTGTTACATCGTCCTCATATTGTTCGGTAGAAGATATCGTCTTTAGGTTGTGTAGTCATGATGTGTTTCAGACAATTTCCCCATATGGTACAACCCAACGAGTGTAGAGTGTGTGTGTTACATCGTACTCATATTGTTGGGTAGTAGATATCGTCTTTAGTCTGTGTAGTCATGATGTGTTTCAGACAATTTCCCCATATGGTACAAACCCAACGAGTGTAGAGAGTGTGTGTGTTACATCGTCCTCATATTGTTGGGTAGTAGATATCGTCTTTAGGTTGTGTAGTCATGATGTGTTTTGGTGGACGTCCCCATTTGGTACAACACAACGAGTGTAGAGAGTGTGTGTTTCATCGTCCTCATATTGTTGGGTAGCAGATATTGTACAGTTCAAACTATTTCTATAGAGTCTTGAGTTACAAGCCCAGATCCTCATGTGAATTTTTTTACTAAAATCTGTGTCCCCTACATGAAAAGTCAATGGATTTCTGACACGTTATTGTTGTATTTTAAATTGCAGAAACTGAGTGACATGATCGCGGCTCAGCCTTTAGCTGACTCTGAAGCGAGCCAGAGATACACCTCATCCTTCCAACAGGTAATTAACCCTTGTGTTGTGTTTGAAAGCTGTTACCCTTCATGGTGTTCGCGGGTCAATTTTGACCCATGATTTATCTCAGTCCAAAACACTCACAAATAATGACTATCATCCAATATTGTTTTAACTACATCATAACTAACTTCTAATGCATTCATAACCGTACAATCCTGTTGTAATTTTATTGTATGGCCCCAAAACACATTACACAACATATTGCACACGTTCAGGTTCAAGTGTTAGTGTACATATTTTTTGTGAAAGGTCAAGTTCCCGTGGGGGGAGGGGGGCCAGAGGGATGGGAGACCAGGTGCATGTTGCGAAAAAAAATATTGTTACAGTGGATGAAGGGGGTGGGGGTGGGGTGTCTAAAGTCAAAGATGAATCTTGATTGGGCCAAATTTGACCCCGAGTCACCCACAACAATTCTGCTCGGTCTAACCAGACCCGAACACCAAATTATACACTTATTTTTTTAGAGACCTTCAGACTTGGCTAAAATTGTCAAAATCAGTTTTGTAGTGTTTATATAGCTGTTGTGGAGGATATCATGATGCCTTGTTCCGATAAAAAAAACTAGATCGTAGTTATTATATAATTTGAATTTGAAACGGGTCACGGGAGACCCGAACACAACATAAGGGTTAATTAAACATTTACTGTAGACTATTTCTATACAAGGTAAATTCATATCTCAATCAAGTCCAATGCCTACATAACATGCCTTTTTACCTAATTAAAATTAATATATTGTTTAATAAATGTAGAATCTCAATATAACTGTTACTTGTTTCTAAATATCATAGTAGAAAGATATACCCCTACCATTTGATAGCAGTAACTACCTCTTAAAACATGAAAATGATCTTTATTGTCCCTAAATTCTGTGTGTTTTCTCCTTTTGCCAATGTGTTTTCCAATTGAACCTAATGTGTATCAGTTTACATGATCTAATTAATAGGGAAGTAGATCCATACTTATTACTATGGGGGTTTCAGGTTTTTTTAACAACAACAGCACACCTCAGAAGTCAGGAATGCTGACTTTATGTAACTTCAGTCGTCATGTCCTCATTTTGTTTTAGGTTGGGTAGTCATGATGTGTTTTAGAGGGCGTCCCCATATGTTACAACCCAACGAGTTTAGAGTGTGTGTGTGTTACATCGTCCTCATATTGTTGGATAGTAGATATCGTCTTTAGGTTGGGTAGTCATGATGTGTTTCAGAGGACGTCCCCATATGGTACAACCCAACGAGTGTAGAGTGTGTGTGTGTTACATCGTCCTCATATTGTTGGGTAGTAGATATCGTCTTTAGGTTGTGTAGTCATGATGTGTTTTGGTGGACATCCCCATTTGGTACAACCCAACGAGTGTAGAGTGTGTGTGTGTTACATCGTCCTCATATTGTTGGATAGTAGATATCGTCTTTAGGTTGGGTAGTCATGATGTGTTTCAGAGGACGTCCCCATATGGTACAACCCAACGAGTGTAGAGTGTGTGTGTGTTACATCGTCCTCATATTGTTGGGTAGTAGATATCGTCTTTAGGTTGTGTAGTCATGATGTGTTTTGGTGGACATCCCCATTTGGTACAACCCAACGAGTGTAGAGTGTGTGTGTGTTACATCGTCCTCATATTGTTGGATAGTAGATATCGTCTTTAGGTTGGGTAGTCATATTGTGTTTCAGAGAATGCCCCCTATTTGGTACAACCCAACGAGTTTGGAGTGTGTGTGTTACATCGTCCTCATATTGTTGGATAGTAGATAACGTCTTTAGGTTATGTAGTCATGATGTGTTTCAGAGAACGTCCCCATATTGTACAACCCAACGAGTTTAGAGTGTGTGTGTTACATCGTCCTCATATTGTTGGGTAGTAGATATCGTCTTTAGGTTGTGTAGTCATGATGTGTTTTGGTGGACGTCCCCATTTGGTACAACCCAACAAGTGTAGAGTGTGTGTGTTTTCATTGTCCTCATATTGTTGGGTAGCAGATATTGTACAGTTCAAACTATTTCTATAGAGTCTTGAGTTACAAGCCCAGATCATCATGTGAATTGTTTTTACTAAAATCTGTGTCCCCTACATGAAAAGTCAATGGATTTCTGACACTTTATTGTTGTATT